ACGCCTGACTAATCTAGTCTCTTTTTATGACCAGGTTACAAAGCACCTGGACATAGGAGTAGGGGTTGACATTGTCTACTTAGACTTCAGGAAGGCCTTCGATACAGTATCCCACCCCATATTGGTGAACAAATTAAGAGGCCGTGACTTGGATGACTATACAGTCTGGTGAGTGGCAAATTGGCTAGAGGGTCGAACCCAGGGAGTGGTGGTGGATGGGTTGGTATCAACCTGGAAGGACGTGGGCAGTGGGGTCCTGCAGGGCTCAGTCCTTGGACCGATACTCTTCAGTGTCTTCATCAGTGACTTGGACAAGGGAGTAAAGTGTACTCTGTCCAAGTTTGCGGATAATACAAAACTGTGGGGAGAAGTGGACACACCGGAGGGCAGGGAACAACTACAGGCAGACCTGGACAAATGGGCAGAAAACAATAGAATGCAATTTAACAAGGAGTTGAAAAGTGTTGCACCTAGGGAGGAAAAATGTCCAGCACACCTACTGCCTAGGAAATGACCTGCTTGGTAGCACGGAAGTGGAAAGGGATCTTGGAGTCCTAGTGGACTCCAAGATGAGCGTGAGTCGTCAGTGTGATGAATTCATCAGAAAAGCTAATGGCACTTTATCATGCATCAGCAGATGCATGACGAACAGATCCAAGGAGGTGATACTTCCCCTCTATCGGGTGCTGGTCAGACCGCAGTTGGAGTACTGTGTGCAGTTTTGGGTGCCACACTTCAAGAGGGATGTGGATAACCTGGAGAGGGTCCACAGAAGGGTCACTCGTATGGTTAAGGGTTTGCAGGCCAAGGTCTATGGGGAGAGACTAGGGCACCTGGACCTCTTCAGCATCCGCAAGAGAAGGTTGAGAGGCGATCTTGTGGCTGCCTATAAATTCATCATGAGGGTGCAGAAGGGAATTCGTAAGGCTCTACTCACCAAGGTGCCCCTGGGGGTTACAAGAAATAATGGCCATAAACTAGCAGAGAGCAGATTTAGACTAGACATTAACTGTGAAGAAGTTCTTCCTAAAGTGGCCAAAATCTGGAATGGGCTCCCAAGGGAGGTGGTGCTCTCCCCTACCCTGGGGGTCTTCAAGAGGAGGTTAGATGGGCATCTGGCTGGGGTCATCTGAACCCAATGCAGGGGGTCGGACTCGATGATCTATTGAGGTCCCTTCTGACCCTAACATCTATGAATGTATGAACCCAGGTTAGCTGTGGGATAACTTCTTATCTTCACAAGCCTCAACTGCATTCCCCTTATACTGGACCTCATAGATGCAGCAAGGGAATTGTTGGTAGCTCTAGATGGTTTCCCTTGGGGTTGTGAAAGAATTTTAGTTTCTCCTTTCTGTAGAATGGATTAGCCAGGAACGTCACTCATCCTGAGATCATTCTTTGCTATGGGCATTCAGTAAGGAGACAAAACAGCAAAAGGGTTTATTATCTAGGAGAGAAAAATATATACATGAAAAAATGACCGTAAGTTTGAAAACAGAACAAAAAGACAGATGAGAGGGTAAGAATCTTTCCTTGACTGCAGCATTGCCCCTCTGAGGGTACATCTACATGTGCACTTTACTGTGGATGTGACTCATTCGTTCTGCAGTAAAGTGTTCCCATCTACACCTGCACCCATATTAGGGCACAGTAAATTAATTAACTCTATTGCAGGATAGTACTTGTCCCAGACAGTACTATCTTACAGCAGAGTAGTTGCATGAGCTGAAATGCACGTGTAGACAGTGACTGGGGCTGGCTGGGTCATGAGGGTGCTATGGTACAGGGGGTTCCTGCCACCTAGTCCTACACTGTAGCACCCTCATGTCCCAGCCAGCCCCTCCACAGCACATTGAACTGGTGCAAAGCAGCTTTGGGCTGGCAGATTGACCTCTGGACCCTCTGCCAGCTGCGGCTGCTCTGCTCCAGCTCAATGTGTTGCAGTCCTGGGTGCACATGTAGATGCTCTGCCCAGGAGCAATAAACTCCAGCAGAAACTGTGCCGGCATTTTTTGCTACATGCTAATTGCATGTGTAGATGCACTCAGAGTCCTGCCAGAGTTTCCAGAGATTAGTCTCCATGCTGATTCTGCCAGCCCTGACTGCTGGGGACTTAGACTCTATCCAACCCTGGGAAAATCCAGAAACCAGGACCATCCCTAAAATGGATAGCGAACCAGCCCTCCCCACCCCAATCAACATTCTCCCAATTGCTCCCGAGTCTCAGAATCCTTTGAAAATATCTTTACTGCTGGGGCAGGTGGAATTCATATAGCTAGTGGCCCATTTCTCCAAGATGCCTTAGCTATTTTGGGTTTTTTTCCCCATTAAAAGCAGTCAATACCATGAGTGCCCATCCCAATAATAGCCCCTTCTGCCCGTGTTTGGGAGTGGCAATTGTTCTTGCCCTGGTAACACAATGGTGAGAGATATTCAGCAGTTTCACCTACTTCCTTTTCCTTAAGTATGCATCCCTCAGTTTGTTACGCTGTCGGTATATTGTTTACGCTGTCTGTATACATCTTTATTTTAGACATGGTTTATTCAAACAATCTATACAGAGATAAAAAATGACATAAATGAATCTAGCATAATATTGACTTTTCAAGAAGACCACAAGACATGCCACATTAGTAAAACAAACACCAGAAAAATCCACATGGCATCCTACGAACACCCCAAGATACAGTGGATTGACAATTACCCTCTACCTAAAATGCTCTCTCTGTGTGTGGAACATGTTGGTGCTAAATACAACCCAAATGACAGCCTAAGGATATACTATTTCCAGATAGGGGCTTGAAATGCACACAAACATATGCTCTTTTATTCAAAGCAGTTGCAAAACACTGCTGACAGATCTTTGACATCAGTGATCCCTCCGAGAACTTCTCCCCTTGTAGGCATGCCATGTCTGTGCATTTGTGTAATTCCTTTGGGTTTATATTCTGTTAGTTACTCTATTCATTTAGTGATTCCCAGAGCAACACACCTGTACAACTCTTCTTTCATCTTCTACTTCAGAAGAAGCCACCTCATGAATTGTGGCATGGGTGGGCTCTTTCAGTTCTATACTGTAGTTAGCCGAGACATCCTCAAACTCTTCCTCAGGTGTTTTAGCCCCTGCCACTGCAAAAAAATGCACCTGTTGATCAGGCCAAGGGTTTGATACAGTTAATCCAATAATGGGTACCCTTTCCCTTGGTAGTAATACACATATTTTTCTTTCCCAATTTTGTTTTTACACAGAAATTTACATCACATGATCAACCTTTACACTAAATCTAATACTCTGAATCCAAGGGAGAGTCACCTTAAGAAAAAAATATGTGTTAAAAATAAATCAGTTAAGGACAGTATATGGGTCATCTGTCCACTACTGTCCTGGGGTACTCATTTGCTATAGGGTTATGTTTCCCTGCCATCTAACAGGAAAGTGTTTTAAGAGCACCTACTGCTGGATAGCTGTTTCTCTCTCTGCTATAGATGGTGGTGTAATTTTCCCTGGCATTGCAGCAAAACAAAAGCAAACCAACAAAAAGCCGGGATGCAAATTTTGATGCAAGCGCCTCCCTTTGTGGTGACACGTGTTCCTTGTAGATGCAGAGTGAAGCCCTACTTAAACCTTTTCTTGTTGACCTCAATATTTCTAGAGTTTCAATTCTGGTGGGGTTTTAACCACACCGTTCTTCCACTCAGAGAACTTCGTTTTATTCCTAGTCAAAAAATCGCTCAGAGCCAACGAGTCTGATGGTGGTCTGATGCTTTCACCTGCCAAGTGCTAACAAAGCCATTTTATACAAGAGGAGACTCAACACAATTTACACACCAATTCCATATAGGTCACACTAGAGCTTCGTAAAGCGACAGCCCCCATATAAGACACTTAACAAAATTAGGCAAGTGAGCAGCATGATGACAGAGGGAATTCGGTGTATTGAAAGCACTAAGGCTAGAACAACCTGACCTACTTAGATCTCAGTGTACACATACATTCTAATAAAATTAATCTTACATAAAAAAGGACCAGGCAGGAGGGTTACTGTGAAAGATTCAGTGCATCCTATCACTTCACAGCTGCCATTAAAACAACAGATAATGCAAGTATTATACTGACACTCCATAAATTGATGGTGTGGCCAAGACTGGAATAGAGTCTTCTGTCTGGTCACTTCTCACAGTGATAAAATGAGTCTGTAAAGACTTTATTTGCAGCACAGGGTGTGCAAATAATAATTAGGTGAAATGCAGCATGAATGGCCCAGTCAAGGAAAACTGACCAGCTAACATGCTCTTACCTCAAAAAAGGTATTTCAGAAATAGCAAACTGTTTTGGGGACAGAGTGGAATGAAGAGGTATGGCACCTTTGAAAATGACTTCCCTCTTTGGTTTTAGTGATAACTGAAAACTGGCATTCAGGAAAGATCATTCTATTTTTGAGTAAACATTTTTATTACAAATTGCATTGGATTTATGTATGTGCAGCTTACATTGCAGATTCCTTAGGTGCAAAGGTGTCCCCTGTGGGCACAGAGATGGTATGAATAACTGCTGTGCCACTTTCACTGCAGATCTTGGCTCATGGGATAAAAAATTTGACTAAAGCATGCTGTAACCAGCAATCCACAGCTGATAGCTGGTTTCTCAGGGCTGCATAAGCTGTAACTGGAATCAAATGGAGAATTACAAAGCTGTAATTTGTTCTTCAGCTCCCAGCACTTTTTCACTAAGTTCAGGAGTACCAGCAAAAACATCAACAACAAAAAAGAATAATAATAGGTTCTCTCTCTAGTTTTATGAAACACTAGTACAACTCAAGTATTTTGGGAAGGCTAGTGAGAAAAGACTTATGTGACAGTGTATTCTGAATAAGTTAAAATTTAAACTCATTGTAGCAGTTTGTGAAAAGTGGCTTACTTGACAACAAGATGCTTTACACGATGGCGTTTCACTTTTGTTACTGCCATTTCTAAAATCAATAAAGACCAGAAATACAGAGCAAGGTGGTGGTCAGAGAGCATGTCAACATGAGATGGTTACTGAGAAGCTGACTAAATAGATCTGCAGTAAAGGCTCAGCATCTACACATGGCACCCCTATTAGGGCACAGAAAACTAACAAATGTTACTGTAGGTTACTACTTGTAAATACAAGTTCTATTCCATGGTTGTGTTATTTAGTGTGCCTCAACACATGTGTAGATGCTGATGGGGCTGGTTGGAGTATGAGGGTGCTTCAGTGCGGGGCTAACTGGTAATAGCTAGCATGTTGAGCCAGGCTGGAGCAGCCCTGGGCAGGCAGGCTGACCCCCTCTCAGGCTCCCTGCCATCTGGATCTGCTCCGATCCGGCTCAAAGTGCTATGGTTCCAAACACACACGTAGACTTGGTGCCCAGGAGCGATAAACTCTAGCACGAACCATGCTGGAGTTTATTACGTCTCACTAATAACACGAGTAGATGTGCCTACAGACAGACAGTCTCTAAGATCCAGATGAAAAGCTGCAAAAAGTTATGGCAGGATTTTAAATAGGAACCAATCAGCAAAATGGGCAAAGCCTTATATGTCTCTAACCTATGATATTAGGATATCATACAAACTAGAGCTTTTCATGCCAAGCACAATTAATTGCAGTAGTCAAGTCTGGAGGCAAGTAGTATATTGATCATTATGACAAGGTTGGATGACATTCGCAGCTGATGTCGACATGTTCATCCAGGAGCCATGGACCTCTCGAGTTCATTACAACCTTTAACTGCACAAACTCTAACTGTAGATGCAGAGATGTAACTGGCCAGTTCTGCACCCTGGGTGCTGGCAGCTCATGATGCAGGAGCAGCAGTTGGAGGTTTGCTGCTGAAGGAGAGGATGCCACCATTTTTTCAGCTTATCCACCCATCATTACACTACTGAATAGATGTCCCTATCTGAGGATGCAGCTATAGTTGGGCAAGTTCCTCCAAACAGCCTTCTCTCCATTTACAAGCTTCATTTCTGTCTTCTCCCATCTTATTTCTACAACATCCAGA